AACGGGGGAGGGGCAGAGAGAGAGGGAGACAAGAATCGGAAACAGGCTCCAGGCTCTGAGCCATCAGCCCAGAGCCCGACGCGGGGCTCGAACTCCCGGACCGCGAGATCATGACCTGGCTGAAGTCGGACGCTCAACCGACTGCGCCACCCAGGCGCCCCAATTATCTTACTAGTTCTAATAGTTGAAGATATTCAGCCTTTTCCACATAAATCCTCATATCATTTCCAAATAGAGACTATTTTCTTTTTAATCTTTTGCCTTTCTTTCTTGCCTTTAGCACAAGATATACTGTACAATGTTGAATTTACAAAAAAATATCATGAATTAGTACTGAATTTTGTCAAATGTCTTTTCTGTATCCATTGAAAAAGTTTTTGTGTTTTTTTTTGTTGTTGTTGTTTTTTAAAGACACATTAAAAACATCATAACCATCCATTACTATAGTGCCACATGGCTTTTGCACAAGGCCACCATCCAGCAAATGAGTGACAGAGTGGGCTCACACATGTGCCTGCTGACTTGAAAGCCCTGTTGTTGTTTTTTTTGTTTGTTTGTTTGTTTGAGAGAGAGAGAGAGAGTGCAACCTCGAGAGTAGGAGAGGGGAAGAGGGAGAGAGAGACAGAATCTTAAGCAGGCTCCATACCACCACAGAGCCCATCATGGGGCTCGAACTCATGACCGTGAGATCATGATCTGAGGTGAAATCAAGAGTCGGATGCTTAACCAGCTGAGCTACCCAGGCCCCTCAAAAGCCCCCATTCTTTCACCAGGCACATGGTGCCCTTAGACTGGTGGAACATAAGAATTCTTGGGACAACGTTTTTCTTTTTTTCTCTTTATTTTTATGGATAAATGCAACATACATATTATATTTAACAATGGAAGCCAAGACAAAAGAATTAATATTAACTTTTGCAACGGGAGACAACATAAAACATTGGCATTTCTTGTGACATTAAATCATTTTTTAATCAGATCACAGAGTTTTAGAAAATAGTTGAAAAATGGCTGAAAGATTTGTTTTTAAATTAAGGTTATGTGTGTGTGTGAAACCATTTAAAATGTTTGAAAGAAACATTTTAATCCATGTCACACTATTTTTTATTAAGTGACATATTTATGGAAAATAGCTGAAAATGCCTGTCAGAAACTAGGAACTATTTAATCCCATAATATATATTCTTTTCAGGCATGTTAAACATTTGTGAAAAACAGTTGAAATATGCTTGATAGAAAGAAGGGAATTTCAATCTCATGTTGCTTTTCTGTCAAGTGCAATATGGGTAAAGCAGTTGAAAAATGCCGGAAAGCAGAGATGACTCTTAATTCCTACACTTGAAAACCTGCACTGCAACGTGGTGAAACACACAAGACAATGACTAAGGGACACAAATTCTCTCAGAGTATACCACAGGTCACAGTTACAGAGTATTTTTGGCTTTAAAGCTTTTGCTAAAAATATTTTACATCATTAAATGTGTATTATTAAATGCACATTGAAAGCTAACTGAAGTGACTTAAATAATAATAAGACTCAGGGACAGTTTGTAACAAAAACTGTTAAAGTCCATTAATTTTTTTCCCAAGAAAGGCAAGTGAGGTAGTTTATACTGTATACCCATTGTAATGAAATTAACATTCCAGTTTATTTGAAGATCACTGAATCCAAGAATCATATCCTCCAAGAGCTGCTAAACAAAGGGATCCTCTTCCACAGAATGCAGGAAACAATGAGCCAGCTCTAGGTTTATTTTCTGGGTAAGTGTCACTAAAATGTTAACTTCCTCTAATACTTTCCTGGATATTATTTTCCTAAGTGGGAAGCTAGTGAGAACTGAATCTAGAAGCCCGGGATCTGAGTCTTCTCTTGTTTGCAAACATACTACTCAATTTTACTGACTACTATAACTATTTTAAAACAACCCTTGAAAAAGCAAAAATAGTTTCAGTAATTATTTGACAGACATTTTTGAATTGTAATTGTAGAGGTTTGTTTATTCTTTAAGAATAAATTGAGTAAAAAGAACCTCTACTCATACAAAATTAGTCTGTATGTCTACTGGAAGTTCTCCTCAAATCAGTCAGTTATCCTAGGACAAAGAACAAAAGTTGTATCCAAAGATAGTGGTATTGACATGGCCTTCCATATCACATAGCTATTTGAAAGTTGTCACACATCCTTAAATACATTCAGGTGATTCATTTAAAGCTATTTACTCAGCTGAATCTTTGACATCTGACACCACACAAAGGAGGGTAAGAAACTCAGAAACTTACTGTTTTTCACCTGTCATCTGTTACCCACTTATTTCAAAATGATAAGTGGAGTGAATCTCAAAACGTTTAGAACTTATGTATAGGTTCTAATGTGTTTTCAATTCAAAGATAGGAAAATTCTCAAAAAATTAAATGACTATGATCCGTAAATCTTCTATGTAAACACGGTAGAATTTAATGATTCTGAAATATAGGAAACAATAAGAAAAACCAGTCCCTGTTTTCATATGTACATGGAAGTATAAGATAGCTAATTTGAAGATTATCTTCCATGTGTGTGGGCATAAATTACCGCCATCTTATGTCCTGGAAGTTAGCAACTGCATAAAGTAAAATGTTTACTCCTGTAGTCTGAATTATAAAATGATAAGAGCATTTTTTTGGACTCTTGAAATTCATTATGTAAACTTGCACGCCATTGATTAGCCAACCATGGAAAACTGATGAAATGTAGGAATAAATAAAAACTGATAAAACGCATTTATCTCAAAATGGGTTTTCAGGCACAGGAAATAAAAATTCTCAAACAAATAAAATGAATGGATATTTGAGTTTTTTATAAAAATATAACAAAATATTAGTGGCCAGAAACACAATTATCTACATGGTGAATACAAACAATGTTTTAAGAGATATCAAGGCATAATGCAGCATATAAAAGATTTCTTCTATACATGGGCTTCAGTTATCATCACATTACGTTTTGAGAATTGGTAAGTAGATGAAATGTCTTCTGTATCTGTGAGCAACTTTATTGTTTGAACTGCAAAAGAGAGTCATCTGGGCATTAAATCTCATTAAAATTGATACAAATTCATCAAAATCTCAATCTGTGGATTCTAATCCAAAGCATGCATGTGGGATAAATGAGATTTCTGTCCCCAATTCTACTGACCCTAGAAGAACTGTATCTGTAGTCTCAAGATGAAAGGCAGAGCCGTCTGACCCCCTGGCACATTTCAGATTTGCTCTCCGTTAGCTCGTGGAGAACTGTATGTTCTCACCAAGTGCCGGTCTGGAAAATGCCTCCACAGGATCTTCACAGTGAGACAGTTTCCAGCTCACCAAAACTGCATCTGATTTTAAAGACTGAGGCTAGTCCACAGTGCTTGGCCATGTCTATGGTTGATGAACAGAAACAAAATATGCTTTTACAGCATATAAAATCTGGATATGACACTATTTTTCAGTATTCTTGGATAAAGAACAGTTGGATAAAGGCAGTTCTATATTTTTAAATTGGGGTGGCAGAAGTGACTATCTACAGTTGTGAAATATAAAAAATGGTATGTTTGATCAGGAAAGGAAATCTGTGTCTGGCACAGAGAAAGCTATTCGTTGAGCACCAGAATCATGAGGAGAAAATAGTGGTTCTGTAACTATTAACCACGCAGAAGGTCACGAAAGAATAAGGACACCCTCTTTCAGACTAACCTTTGCTATACGGACCAGTGCTCATCAGAAAAGCTTTAAAATTATCAATTTTCAATAGTCCACGATAGAGAAATGGTCATTTGCACCAGAATGCTGATAGTCATAATACAGTACAACATACATAACAATACAGTGTTCCTTCAACAGGAGTTCGCCCTCCTCCAATTTGGGAGCAAGTCAGAGCATAAATATTGTATGCATAACTTTAGGAACCGATTCCCTTTGAAAAGTAGATCTGGATTATTTTACAAAGCAAAAATTATTGATATTTCTGGCATTCTTGTTCAAAAAGGTCCACCTATGTATATAACACAGGTATGAAAACAATTTTCTTCTACCTCTTGTCTTTGGTAGCATTTGCTACATAAAGAAGTGTTTCTTATCTCTAGGTATAGGGCCAAATTCATTTCTGATATGAAACCAAAGTACTAGAAATGATTAGAGTTCCACATCCTAGATTGGCCTTTCTTCTGGAAGGATCGTATCATCTTTCCTTCACTCTTATCAAGGAATCATAGGAGAAAGCCCCAGCTCAAACAGCCAACCAGTGCCTCCTCCATGGTTCATGTTGACAACGCTGGGAGACACCACTTGGGCTGAGAAACACCAAGAGAGTTATTGGAGCAAACATGTCAAAAGTAGTCTTGTTTTTTCCCCTACCACATGCAGAATCTTCTTGGCATGTGATACATGATAGCTGCCATCCTGGAGGGTGTTTCAAAAACTTGGTTGGGGTTTAATCACCCACTCTGCTTGAGGATTGACATGATATACATCCAATATATAAGCATCTGGATCCAAGCAATGCTGCCCTAAAGGAAAGAGAAAATCAGAGGATGTTTTTGATGGTGCACACTTCTAAGTGTGCATGTGCATGTGTGTGTTGGTAAGTTCAAATAAGGCTAATATCTCAGCCAAAAGTAAGTAGATACATATTAAAATTTCCTTAGCAAAGCTAGTCGGCCTACCTTCTTGCCTTCCTCTATCCCTTCTTTGTTTCTTTCTGACTGTGAAATACTTCACGTAAATCCCATGCAAAATTGTGGAAAAACACAGACATACCAACTACAGGCAAACTGTTCCCTAGACTCACCACATCAAGTAGGAAAATCTGGAAAGAACTTATTTAAGATATAAACTGATCATTTATAAAATAATACACGTCCTCAAATGGTTTTACAGATAGTAACTTGACCAGGACTAGAAAAGATTAAAATTACGTTCATTTTAGGAAAGGTCATTTTGTTTCTTTACTACGGATTCAATGCCCAAGGGCAGGAGATCTAGAAATGATAACAACAACAACGACAACAACAACAAATCATTCCATGAGGCAAATACATTTGAAAATCTTTATGTACAGTGTTTGAAATGTATACCAAATTCTCAAACAAAACTACCAACATTTGATTGCTTAATTCACTCATTCATTTATCAAATTGTTCTTGAAAGTTACTATATTCCAGGTACTATTCCAGGGGCTAGGGCTACAGAAATGCATCAGATAATCAAAAACACTTGCCCTCGGGGCACTTGCATTCTCAAAGTGGTAAAAGGCAACCAGCAAACTAGCAAGCATAATATAAAGTAAGTCTGGCGGTGATGAGAACATGAGAGAACAAAAAACCGGGAAGGCACACCTAGAGAGGGTGAAATCCCGGAAGGTCTCTTTGAGGTGACACAGCGGCCAACACCTCCAAGAGGTGAGGGAGGGAGAAATGAACACTCTAAAGGAGAGCATTCTGGGAAAAGAGCACATGCAAAGGCTCCATGGCAAATGTGCCTGGTGATGAGCTCTGCAAGGTTGGTGTTGAGTGGAAGTCTGGATAGAATATGAGAAGCATCTGCATGCTGGTGTATTTAAAGCGATGTGACGGATTGGGCTCACCAAGGAAGTAATATGTAGGTAAGAAGAGCTCTGAGGCCTGACCCCACAGCTTTCCACGTTGAAGGTTGAGAGGATGAGAAGTAGCGGGCAAAAGAGAGTCAGAAGGAGCCACCAGTGAAGTGGAATGAAACCCAGAAGCTTAGGTCGTCCTTGAAACCAGGTGAAGAAAGTGTGTTTTCAAAGGGAAAGATCAACTCAGCAGGCAGTTATCAAGACAGACGAAAGACTGGATTTCACAACATAAGAGTTCTCCGGTGGCCTCAACAAGAGAGCAATTTGGGTGAAGTGTTGCGGGGTAACGCTTGCCTGGAGTGGTTTCAAGAGAGAACGAGAGGGAGAAATTGGAGGACAGACAACAGCTTTAAGGAGTTTTTGCTGTAAAGTGGAACACTGAAATGGAAGTGGGCTGGAAGGGGGTCAAGAGAGATTTTTGGAAATTTCTCTTATCTTCACAAAACTGTTCATGCAGTTGGAAATAATGCAGCTGGGAGGGAAAAGTCGATGGTGCAGGAGAATGGGGGACTGGAGCAAGGCTCTGAGTGGCAGGCGGGGACATGAAGCGAGGTACACACAGAGGTGCTGGCCTTCAGTGGAAGCACCGGTCGTTCATCCAGGCTGTGCAGGGTGCAAGCAGAAGACATGGACGAAGGGGAAGGTAAGGACACAGATGAAAGCAGAGGGTATTTCCCTTTGATTCCTTTTTGCTCCCTCTCAGGGAAACAAGAAGAATGAACCTGGGTTGAGGGTGAAACCAGGAAAGTTCAACAAAAAGGGTGTCACGATTTCAAAGTTCCATGATGTTTCTCTGTTTTGCAGGGATCTCTAGGAAGAGACTTGCCAACTCTGAGGCACATTGAAAAGACCCACAAGTCTACTTCATGTCAACTGGAATATTCACATGTAAAATTTGGGTATATTTTAGGAAATTCATACAACTGTTCTCACATGAGATTAAAAAATCAGAATCTTACTGATTTTGAATTTATAATCTAAGAAACTGGTAAAATGTGCTGTTACAATAATAGCATCATATTTCTTTTAGAGTAATCAGAGAATTTAGGAGTAAAGACCGTTAGAGAATGCTTACCTATATTTCCTCCAATTTCATATAACCGTTGGTTCTGAATCTTAATGCATTCTGATGAACCATAACTGAAAAAAAGAAGGCAATGTAATTTTAACCCTGTTCTATGATCTGAGGTAAATCTGTGGATTAAATAACCATGGCAACAAACAATTCCTTCTGCCTTGAGTGAAAATACCCACAAATCATTATTATAATTGAAGTTATGATAAAAACTTATTATTATTATTATTTTTTTTTTTTACTTGTTTGACACAGACGAACATTCAAGGCACAGAAAGGATGGGACTATCCCAAACCAAGACGGGTGCTGCTGTCCCCTGCAGCAACCTGGAGCCCACTCTGTCCCCAACTGACAGCTTCATTTAAGAGAGTAAACTGTTGGGAGACACGCCAAGGCTGGCTAAGGAGCAGCTGGATGTTTCATATTGCCTTGTCATTGGTCACATTACTCTCGGTTCGAAAGAAGTCAGGTTTCATTTCTCTTTTTGCCAGAAACTGAATGGGACTCTCTCCTCTGTCCATGCCATGTTTCTAAACTTGCCTAAAGCTTTTCAGACTGTCTAATGTTGACTTCATTGCATGTTTCTGCTCTATGGTGAAAGCAAGTCAGAGAAAATAATTGCCCAGTTTAATTTCAGCATCCTGGAATACTGCAGTAGAAAAGTCTAGAAAGACCATTGCTGATCTCCACCTACATGAGGAATGACTTTCAGCTTGGTTTCTTCAAAAGATTGCCTTCAGCTCTTTGTGAGGAAGAAAGATGTGTGGCCTATTTTATTGTTTACTTAAACATTTTGAGATAATTGTAGATTTGCATGTAGTTTTAAGAAATTATACAGGTAGATCCTGTCTACCCTTTACACAGTTTCCCCCAATAATAACATTTTGCAAAACTCTAGTTTGCTACCACAACCAGAATGTCAACAGTGATTCAGTTAAGATACAGGATATTTCCATCATCACTAGATCTCCCGTTTACCTTTTACAGTCCCACTCACTACCCTCTCCATCATTACTATGCTCATCCCTTGTCCCTAGTAATGTCTACTCGATTCTACATTTTCTAGAAGCTTCTAATTTCAAAAATGTTACACAGAGTAAATGGAAACAGAGTACAGAGCTTTTTTTGTATTCGTTTCTCTTTTCTTTTTAAATATAATTTATTGTCAAGTTGGCTTACATTCTGTATGGGCTTTTTTTTCTAATCAGCATAAATCACTGGAGACTCACCCAAGGTGTTGCATTTTCTTGATGAGTAGCATGCCATGGTATGGATATACCAGTTTGTTTTTTACCTGTTGAAGAACATCTGTTTTTTTTCCCCCAGTTTTTTACTATTTTAAATAAAGTTGCTATAAGCATTTGTGTTCAGGTTTTTGTGTGAGTATTATCTTCATTTCTTTGAGCTAAATTCTCAGGAGTGTGCAAGCTGGATCACACGGTAGTTGCATATTTAGTTTTATGAAAAACTGTCAAACTGTTTTACAGAGCAACTATAGCCTTTTACATTCTCACCACCAATGTAGGAGTGATCTGGTTTCTCTGTATCTTTGCCAGTATTTGATGTCATCGTTATTTTTTATTTTAGCCATTCTCAGATGGTTTAATGATAGTCCTTGTGGCTCTGCATTTCCCTAATGGCTACTGAACATGTTTTCATGTGCATATTTGTATCCATATATCCTCTTTAGTGAAATATCTGTTCACATCTTTTGCTCATTTTTAATTTGGATATTTTTATTGTTGAGTATTGAGTGTTCTCTATATATTCTAGAAACTAGTCATTTGCTGGATATAAGGTCTGTATACATCCTTAGTTTGTCTTTTCAACCATTTCACTGAGTCTTTCAGTATATAAGTTTTCAGTTTTGAAAGATGTCCAATTTATGGATCATGCTTTTGATATCAACTTTAAGAACTCTTTACTAGCCCTACATCACAGAGGTTTTCTCCTGTTATTTTCTAAAAGTTTTATAGTTTTACATTTTAAATTTAAATATGCACTATGGGTTAATTTCTTTTCTTTCTTTCTTTTTTGTCTACAGATATTCAACTGCTAGAGCACCATTTATCATTTGTTGAAAAGGCTGTCCTTCAGCCATTGAATTGCTTTTGTACTTTTGTCAAAAATCAGTTATTAGAATAGTCACATTCATAGAGACAGAAAGTGGAAGAGCAGTTACCAGTGCTTGGGAGAGGGAGAAATGAAGAGTTATTGTTTAATGGGGACAGAGTCTGAGTGTGGGATGATAAAATCTTTCTGGAGATGGATGGTGGTAATGACTGTGTAACAATGTAAATGTACTTAATACCATTGGAATGTACACTTAAAATTATAAACTTTATGTTATGTGCATTTTTATTTCTTCCTTTAAAATCTGTATGCCTGCTTGCCCACCCACCCTTCCTTCATTCTTCCCTTCTCCCTTCCTTCCTCTTTCCCTCCCTGGCTTTCTCTCCTCCTCTCCC